CCCCATTATCATGAAAAGGAGTAAGCGGTAGAAGATAGATGGATGGATGGATAGTTTGAGGAAGGGGACCTACACAATCTATTACACAATCACTTCAACCTATACCTGTTATGGTTCTCCCATAACAGGTATAGGTTGAAGTGGAGCAGGGGGAATGACCTGATTTGGTTTCCCTGCAACCTGACACACATGACAGGAGCGGCAATACCTGGCAACCTCTGACCTCATAGTAGGCCAAAAAAAAATGTTTTAACACATGGTCATTTGTCTTCCTCACACCAAGATGACCAGCGAGATCATGATCATGGGCAATGCTCAACACCTGGGTTCGGAATGGTTTTGGAAGCACAACTTGAAAAACTGACCTCCAATCATGCTCAGAGTTCAGGGGTACCCACTTACGCATTAATACATCCCAATCAAAGAAATACGCTGAAGAATAATGAGGTAACTTATCTACAGCAATACAGTGAGTGAGCGAACTATCTGTTTTCTGGGCAGCCACAAGCTGTTCATGCCCAACACTCCATTTACCACACTCTTCTTCCAATACTGAAGAAGTTTTAGATTCAGGAAGAACCCCAGGACTAGAACACAAACCTTGGTTTTCAAACAAGTGGTTGTCACTACACATAAAAGAGTCTGAAATATCGACAGCACCTTTCATTTTACAAGCTTGGCTAGAGTGTTCAGACAACAGAAGAACGCCCTACACTATAAAGGACTGAGCTGCTACAGTATCTCTCAGAATACGCAATGGTTTACGATCCGAATCGGTATCAGAGAGTGAAACTACACCATCCAGAATAAAAGGTTCAAATGCCCTATCAACTGAAGAAAGGGAAGGTAAACTGTCACACTGTCGTGGCTGTACATGCACTAACCCCACACTCTTTGGACTGTTTTATGCTTTCCGTCGATTTTTGTGCATTAAAACGAGACAAACAGCAATGAGGTGACCAAATTCGTGACAGTAAAAACAAAAACAGAAATATCATGCCACGGAGGGGAAAATATAGTTTTATTTGTGAGAACAATAAAATTGTTTATTGGCGGGAACTAGACGTGATCGACCAGTAGCAAGCTGGAACGTGACGTATGCAGTAGGCGGGGTCTAGAGAAAGGAAAGGAGACAAAAGAAACCCCAGCCCACCACCAATATACAAACAAATGGCACATAGATCAAACAGAAATATATTGGAAAACGTAACAGTTTTGTTTTTGTTACATGTGGTTCTTTGAGCCATTCCCAAAAAGTTAATAATAGCTTTCTTCTTTCAACGCTTGCATATGCAGTAGCCCAGCTTTCTGGAGTTGCTTTGGACATCCTGTGAACAGCTTCCTGCATCTGAGCTGGGGATTTAATGTTGCTGTCTGGGATGTTTATTGTTTGGTATATTTTTAATTAATATACGCTGACTGACACTTTTCAAGAAAATTGTCACACAGTTGTTCACTTTTGAGAGTTTTTTTTTCATGAAGTTGTTTGGATGGATAGAGATTATATTAACATGATCTATAGAGATATAGTATATTATATGAATAATATAAAAACTGAAGGGAGGTGTAACGAGGAGGAGGAGGGAGTGGCCAGACTGTGAGGATGCACACCTGGCGCTTAGTGGGCTCATCAGTGTTTTTTCTCTCTCTCCTCTCTTTCCATCTTGCTACTGTATCTCTCCTGCTTGCTCCTACTCTTCCTCTCTCTTCCTCCCCATGTCTCTCCTTTCACTCCCAGGATGCGAAGGAAGCAGCCTGAAAGGACAGCCCCGCCTTACCGAATGGGTGGGAGAATGAGCGAGTAGGCCTGAATCTAGCCGGGGAGGAGTGTGACGAGGAGGAGGGAGGGGCCAGGCTGTGATGCACTGAGTTGTCTAATCAAATATGTTTGAGTTCTAGTTGTCTGTTTCTGTTGTGGTTTATGTTCTGTTTATGATTAAACAATACGTTTATGTTCAGCCGATTCTCGCCTCCTCCTTGCCCATCTGTGATGTATTACAGGGGGTAAATAGTAATGCCAAACACTGTCTGTATTATGCGTTGGTGATGTGTATGTGTCTTGTACTCTCTCTTTTACTGTTCCTCTCAGCTCTTTGCATATTGCCCTAGGAACAGATATTATCTCAGTATCAGCTGTTACTCAGAATTTCAGTGTGGCAGTGGCCCTTTGTTATATTCAAAAGGCATTTTTAAAAATATATTATTACTTGGAATGATTTGAATAACGAACAGCTATGTCTGTGAGGCAAACTGGAGGCTGCATTATCGTTTTCATGAATTTGTATAAACTAGGCACAGATGAACAGATAGTTTTGAATTTACTAACGTGAAATTAGTGCTAATGCTTACTTTATAAATATATAGTATCTCACAAAAGTAAGTACACCCCTCACATTTTTCTAAATATTTGATTATATCTTGTGTCAACACTGAAGAAATGACACTTTGCTACAATGTAAAGTAGTGAGCGTGCAGCTTGTGTAACAGTGTAAATTTGTTGTCCCCTCAAAATAACTCAACACACAGCCATTAATGTCTAAACCGCGGGCAACAAAAGTTAGTACACCCATAAGTAAAAATGTCCAAATTGGGCCCAAAGTGTCAATATTTTTTGTGGCCACCATCATTTTCCAGCACTGCCTTAACCCTCTTGGGCATGGAGTTGTCCAGAGCTTCACAGGTTGTCACTGGAGTCCTCTTCCACTCCTCCATGATGACATCACGGAGCTGGTGGATGTTCGAGACCTTGTGCTCCTCCACCTTCTGTTTGAGGATGCCCCACAGATGCTCAATAGGGTTTAGGTCTGGAGACATGCTTGGCCAGTCCATCACCTTCACCCTCAGCTTATTTTGCAAGGCAGTGGTCATCTTGGAGGTGTGTTTGGGGTCGTTATCATGCTGGAATACTGCATATTGATCATGCTCTGCTTCGGTATGTCACAGTACATGTTGGCATTCATCGTTCTCTCAATGAAGTGTAGCTCTCCAGTGCCGACAGCACTTATGCAGCCCCAGACCATGACATTCCCACCACCATGCTTGACTGTAGGCAAGTCACACTTGTCTTTTTACTCATGTTGAACTTCCAGTTACCAGTATGAGGGAGTGTGAGAGCGATGACACCAAATTTAACACATCTGCTCCCCATTCACACCTGAGACCTTGTAACACTAACAAGTCACATAACACCGGGGAGGGAAAATGGCTAATTGGGCCCAATTTGGACATTTTCACTCAGGGGTGTACTCACTTTTGTTCCCAGCGATTTAGACATTAATGGCTGTTTGTTGAGTTATTTTGATTGGACATTAAATTTACACTGTTACACAAGCTGTACACTCACTACTTTACATTGTAGCAAAGTGTCATTTCTTCAGTTTTGTCAGATGAAAAGATATAATCAAATATTTACAAAAATGTGAGGGGTGTACTCACTTTTGTGAGATACTGTATATTGTAGCGTGATGAGGCTGTGGCGATTTGAGCACAGACACACAGGAGGCCACTTGGAGGTGCAATTTGGAGGGCTTTTATTCAAAAATGTGTGTGAGTGAGAAAAGGGATGGTGGAGTGAGGTGCTCGGGGGCTGGTTTAGATAGTCTGGTGTTGTCTCGGGGGGTTTGAGGCCTTTTCTGGAGGTCTTGGAGCTTGGTTGAGGCAGCCAGGGAGTGAGTTCTTACTCTGAGGCCATATCTTCTGTGGAAAACAAAATGTTAGCTGTGTTTTAGAGACAGTCTCTTCCTCTCTTAGAGGAGGAAGGCCCTCATATATGCTCCTGTCGACTGCTGTATGGTGGAGAGCTGCCATGCTGCTCATTAGCCACCAGTCGTGTGTGTTTCTGTGGTCCCACGTTGCAGCCACATGCTCTCAGGCTGTCCAAAACATTAGTAGTGCTGAAGTGGAGCTGATCTTTCAGAACCCTGGCAGCAGTTGCATGAGGAACACTTTTCCTCTTTTGTGTGTAGGCCACTAGCCTGCTGTCACAGTACCCACCTCAGCTGTCACTGTTTGTTGGGCCGACAGCACATCGCTTTGTTAAAGGCTATCTGCATTCCCATGCTGGGCTCCTGGCCAGTGTCGGACCTCGAAGCATGGCTTTGGTGTCTTTGGCTTTGGCTATTCACTGCAGGGGCACGTGATCCAGCACCAGGGAGAAGTGTCGACCTGCCAGGTAGTGGCACAACTCCTCGATCACCCAATTTATTGCCAGGGCCTCTCTCTCCACAGCAGAATATTTAATCTCACCTGGGGACAGTTTCCAGCTGATGTAGAGGACTGGGTGTTCTGCTCCATCGAGGATGTTTGAGAGGACGGAGCCCAACCCGTTCTCCAATGCATCCGTGTGTACTATGAATAGCAGGGTGAAGTCCGGGTTTCGTAGGACTGGGATGTTAGTGAGTGCCTCTTTCAGGGCTCAGAACACCTGCTCTGACTGTGCAGACTATTTGACTATTTGACTTCATATTTGTGTGTATGTTTGTGAAGTGTAAGAGGAAACACAGGAATACAATAAAATGCATACATGATAGGAAACGTAACTGTCTTCAGTCATTACAGTCTACATTCTCACACATTAATAAGAAATTAATCAGAAATTCCACGTATTTCCAGATATTCCAGGCATCACCATGTAATTATGCACAAATCTCAATAATTAACTTATTTGTCAACATGTAAAAAGGTAAACATGTGAGAATTTCACAAAATAAAATAAATAAATGTATCACATGGCACCTGTATAACCATCATGAAAAATACCATGTTAACATCACTGTTTGGGGAGCTAGGTGTTCTAATTTCCTGCATGGGTGTAATTTACCTGAGTATAAAGATAATGAGTCTTTATTGACCACCTATACATTATAGCACAGTGAAATTATTTTCTTCGCATATCCCAGCATGCCAGGAAGTTGGGGTCAGAATGCAGGGTCAGCCATGATACAGCGCCTCTGGAGCAGAGAGTGTTAATGGCCTTGCTCAAGGGTCCAACAGTGGCAGCCTGGCAGTGCTGAGGCTTGAACCCACAACTTTCCGATCAGTAACCCAAAGCCATAACCACCATGCCACCACTGCCCTATTATGGTATATTTCCCTATTCCAAGATAGTGTATGAAAAACAATGAAATGTGCATACCAAACACACAGTAGTATAAAAATCAAGTAAATAGAGTTCACCTTAATTGCCCCTAAACCCTCCATTAATAGGAAAAGTAAGTATAATATAGGAAACATACTCTGTGAATATGAAAAGGTCATGAAAATGTCAACTTTTTTTGGGGGGGAGAAATGACGACAGCAGAGCTCCAGCCTGAGGCCTACAAAGAGGCCTCAGCCGTGGAGCTCACGGCTGAGGTCAACATGGCAATCTCAAAGCTACAGATTGAGGCCTACGTGGAGGTCTCTGCTGTGGAGCTCCTGCACGCTGAAGAAGCTGTCCCGCTGTCCTGCCCAGCCGAGGCAGCTACCCAGCATTCCAGCGCCACCGGGGGCAGCACCCAGCGTTCGAGTGCCGCCAGGTGCAGTGCTTGGACTTTCAACCACATTGGGGGTGTTGCTCCACCCATCTGCTGCCCGACGGGGGCTGCCTTGTTTTCCATGTCAGCAAGAGACAGCATGCACAGGGGCCCAGGACCCCCATTGGAGGGTGGTTCTGTTACATCACAGTCAGCAGTGGGCACTGTGGCATGGCTCCTGACTGGTCACATGACTTTGTATTGGTTCGCTTACTTCCTGCTTGAGCATTTAGTTTAGTTAAGTGACTTTTATTTGCCCCAGGTGTTCAGGTTTTGGTTACAACAGGAGTTATAGTTTGGAGTTATAGTTTGGAGTTTGTTATACAACAGGAGTCAGCCTTGTTTGTAGTCTGTAGTGCATTCTGGGAAATGGAGTCACTGGTTTGCTGACAGGCATATTTAAAATTATAGTTGTAATATGTATGATTTTTATATAATGATTAGTAATTGATGTTGATAGAGTAATTGTATTTAAGGGTGAGGCGAGACACAGGTGAGCATGATTAGGACATGTGACGTGCTGGGGCTGCTGGAAAGTGTAGTTCAGCACACTTTGGGTGAGAAGTTAGTCCTGGCTTTGGGCTTGTTTTGTGACTCAACAGCCCTCATGTGGTGATAATTTCAGCACAGCTATCATATTTAACACATCTACACTCAGTCACAATTTGTTACTGATGGTTAAGATCACTAAACAGTTAAGAAGTGTATAGATGTGGATAAGATTTGGTGGTGTGAGTGGTGTGAGGCTCTCAATACAGTATCACAGCTGTAAATGGGTGGTGCTAGCTGAACAGTGTAAAGTTCTGTTCTAATAGGTGGACAATTGTGGTTTTAAATCTCAGGAGTTATGCATGGAGTTATTCTTCTTCACAATTTACACTCGCGGGTAAAAATTTACTAGACAAAATTAAGAGAAATTTGATTTAATGAAAGTAGTTGATAGTACACATATCAAACTATGACCAAAGCTACAATCTCTAAACCTGCCACTAACTTTAGTTCTTCATATTTGTGTGTATGTTTGTGAAGTGTAACACAGAGGAAACACAGGGATACACTAAAATGCATACTTGAAATTAATTTTATTTGCTAGGAAATATAACTTTCAGTTTTCAGTCACTACAGTCTACATTCGCACACATTAATAAACAAGTGTTCAGAAATTCCAGGTATAGAAACCATCACCATGTAATTATGGACAAATCGAAATAATTACCTTATTTGTCAAGAAGGTAAACATTAGAATTTCACAAAAAATAAATAAATAAATAAAAATTATCAAGTGACACGTGTATCACCATCATGAATAATAATATTATAACATCACTGTTTGTGGGGCTAGGTGTTCTAAACTTCCAGCAAGGGAGTAAATTACCTGAGTGTGGTATATTTCCCTATTCTGAGAAAGCGTATGAAAAACAATGAAATGTGCATACCAATCACACTGTAGTACAAAAATCAAGTAAATAGAGTCCACCTTAATTGCCCCTAAACCCTCTTTTAATAATAAAAGTAAGTATAATATAGGAAACATACTCTGAATCTGAAAAGGTCATGCTTTATGGAGACAGTGGAATTTACTGAATACAATATTAAAAATATAAAGAAACATCTGGATAAAGAGGACACATTATAGCAAGAGTATTAAAGGGACAGTACTGTAGATCTGCTGATGTTGGATACAGATGGAGGACCACAGCTTGTCTTCAGTCTTCATGTTATTAAAACATATCTTCATGTTTAAGGAGAGAAAGAATTTTAATTACAATATAGAAAAAGCTTATGAAATGACATGGGTATAAAAACACGGACTAACCGTCATAGGTAGAGCAGATGTAGTTGAGTTTGTAGCTCTGAGGAAGTTCGATCCACTGCTGGTTTCCTCCAGACTGCACTGCTCCGCTTCTCCTCTCATGGCTGCAGTCTTCATTCCATGCCCCATTCCCCGGGGCCCAGTCCTGGTAGCAGACCATCGATCCAAAAACCCAGAACCAGATACGCTGAACACAGTCGTGACGCAGGCCGAGCCACACGTGTTCGGTGGAGGCGTTTTGAACCACTTCCTTCACCCAGAGTTGCATCTCCTCAGTGCGCACTGAGACCAGGTCATAATGATGGTTCCTGCAGTATTTCAGAGCTTCCCACCAGGTTAGACTCTGATTAATCAAGACCAATCTCTCTGAAAAAGAATATTTAGTTAAATATAATCAAAACCTAAATGTACAGCCCAACACCATGATGACGATGTAAATTTAAAATGAACATTCATATAATAAATAAATCTGTAAATTATTAACTATGGGATTCATAAAGTGTATATCGTATCGTAAGTGTATATGTATTTATACAAGGGTTTAATTTGTGACCATTAGTGCACATTTTATCCAGAGTTCCAGCTGCAACTTAAGCCAGTAATTAAAAAATCAAAATAATCAGTAATAAGGGGGAAAAAAACAACATTGTTAATTCACATTGCGTGCAACTTACTTTCATGGCAGACAAATTGGAGTTTGTCAGTGCAGTCTGCATCATTCCAGCTGCAATTTGTATCAGTTATAGACACTGCAGCACAGTAAAAAAAATCCACTGGGTTTGTTAGGGCTCCAGTTTCTGAATGAGGAATTACTCTGATCCGACCATGCCCAAGAGTCCGTAAACAGACCAATCCAAACGGCAGGTGAAGTTTGAATCAATCTCCTGATTTCATCATTCTCATTTTGGTTCCTCACACTGACCAGGTCGTTGTAGTTCTCTCTGCAGTAGGTCTAAGCAGCACGCCAGTTCTTTGGTTCCTTAATCAGTATGTATCTATTGGTGTTTTTTTCTGAAAGACCTTTAATTTACATCATGTGCAACTCATTCATGACTATATCAAATTGATCTTGTCTGCCAAAGAAAGAACATCAGTTCTCACCTTCATAACAAACAAAAGCTATCAAGGTCTCACAATTGACATAATTCCATAAGCCACTGTCGCTAAACATCTCAACACAGAACTCATGTCCCCCAGAGTTGTTTGGTTCTCCACTCCTCCAGTGTCTGTAAGTGTCTCCATCTACATAGAAAGTTTGGTCTGCCAGAGACCACTGCCATTCCCCAGTGCCCTCTCTCTGTAGACCGATCCAAGCTTGCATTGCAGTTTCCTTCTTCAGTGTGCTATTCAGCTTCTTCATCTCTCCCATGCCATTGATGGAGGTCAGATCATTGTAATGCCCTCTGCAGTAAGTCTGAGCTTCACTCCAGGTTTTATTCTCATTCACAAAGTGATAGCGATGAGGAATATATGCACCTATACCACAAACTACTGTGAGTAACATGAGAGAGACTTATTATTACATGGTCCTACACTTCTGCAGAAATGAAGTATTTATGTTTAAACAATGCAGTACGTAGTATTATTTTATTACAATGTAATTCAAATGCAACGTAAATAATTCAATAAACAAAAATGTTTTTTTTTTATAAAAGGTCTTTCACAACTTGGGAAATCATTAGTTTGCGTTAGAGGCAACACATACAAGGATTCCTCCTTTCGGGCTAGCTTTATCCCCTCGCACGTTCACGAAGTTCATGGATGTCATTCTGGCTCCATTGTGACTCCATTGTATACTAAACTACCTGGATGACATGTTAATTCTAGCACGATCCTGGGAACTGGTGATTCAAAATTTACATGTTGTTCTCACCCACATGAAAAGCTTGGTGCTCAGGTTGAACCTCATAAAAATATGCTTTCTCAAGTCCAGTGGACAACAGTACTAGGGGTTAAAGGGTTTAGGGTGAATCCTATAAACATTGAACAAGATCTTGGCATCCCCTCCAGGCTCTATGAGAGACTATTGGAGCTTATGGCAGCAGCATACCATTGGGCCTATTGCACATGAAACTGTTTCAGCGGTAGCTGAGAAGTTGGGGGTTTCCTCTGAGGAGAAAACTCTGAAGGTAATCAGTGTTATGCGGTGATGCCTATGTGGCAGGAACAAGGGTGAATCTGAGGATTTGTGCATCAACTACGCCACCTAGGGGACGGGAGGCCGGCCCCCAGGATAAGAAACTAAACTAGATTAACCCCTGAGGGTAATTCGAGCACACAGGTTCATGAAACCCAAGGAGCCGGAGACATGCGTTACATCAACAATTTTTATTCCAACAAGACACATTGATTGTTACCGTTGCACAGTAAAACATGACCATACAATTGACACTCTGACGGAAAGGTCCCACCGACACAGTGACCAGGGCGCTGCTATATAGGCACAATAGCTATGGGGTTGACTAGCAACTTGTTATTGGGCGAGTGACCTGGTCTCAGGGGAAGGGTAACTAGAACGGGGGAAATGCTTACCACAGCGAGCCGGACCACTGCAGGACAGAGGGGAGGGGGTCCAGAAAATACACCATGTGTGAGAGAAACACTGCAATCCAAACAAAAGACACCTCAATGTGCACACAGCAAGGGAAAGTGAAGGCCTCCACCACGAACTCAGTCCTCCGCTCACGTGGGCCACACTGCCCCTGTCCGCCAACGGGGAAAAGGGAGCACAAGCACCGATTAACAGAG